GAATGTGAGTGAGGCTCCCTCGGGCCCTCCAGACCAGCTTCTCTGCAGTTCAACACCGCTGAGGGACCTCAGTTGCCACCAGAAGAGTCACTCAGACAAGCCCTGCCCGAATCTCTTACCCCCATACCCACAAGATAGAATAAAATGGTTGCTTTAAGCCACTAAGATTTGGGGTAACTTGATATATAGCAACATGCATAATCTCATCCAATTCATTCATTATACCTATTTTACAAACTAGGACATTTAAGCTCAGGGGGGTTAAATAACTTGCCCTAGGTCTCCTGGGAGGCAGGAGGTCCAGCTGGCATTTCAATTTGAACTTGGAGAGTCAGACTCCATAGCTCCTTAACACCCACTGCTTCTTAGTGGGTCTATGTGCACCTCCTGCGGGACGGGGGGGTTGTTGACATTTCAACCAAAAACCTTCCCTTCAAACAAATGACTGAATGAATTTACAAGAAGGGACATTTTCAGCACAGAGACTTTCAGAATTGAGAGGTACAGTGGGGTGATTTGGAGTCTGGGGATGGTGGGGAGAGGTATTCCCTTCAGAAAACTCAGGACAACAGGACGATTTACTTATCTTTGTGCATCCATCACTGGCACGTGACCTGTCACTGTGGACACTTAATATATGCTCGTTCAACAGTCAAACTAATCCACAAAGGCAGAAGTGCTGGAGTTGGAGAGAAGGGTCAGTCCGAAGATCTGGAGGGAAAGGTTTTCCTGCCACCTGGTGGCTATTTCTGGAATGACACTTTTCTTCTAAGGCTGGAGAAGGAATCGGAGGGCTGCTTGGGGGACCTTGGCTGTACATGCAGTCCGGGGTGGGGGGGGCGGGGGAAGGTGAGACAGCAGCATTCCAGACTGGAGTGGGGTGCGGTAGGGGCACCTTACCTTCCGCTGAAGTTTGCAAAAGATGAGAACTTAGAATGTGGTTCCCCGTGACCCCTCTAGCCCCCTGCCATCCCTCTCCTCTCTCCCACCCCCCAGCTCTTCATCCCTAGGTGGGTTTCCACCTGCGCCCTTCCTTGCAGAGTGACAGGTACCGCTCTTCCTGGCACTAAGGCAGGATTTACCCCACAAGACCCCACAAGCACCAAGCACCTTTCTCATGTCAGACAGAGCCTCATTCTCCTTCATTGGGAAAACCCGGAGCACAAAACACCTCCCTCTGAAGCTGTTCATGTGAGATTTTGTGTGTGGAGGACTTGGACCCCCAAAAGGCCTGCTACAAGTGTGTGTGTTGTTCAACACCCAAGAAGATTCTCAGGAAAATAAACATGCATCCCTCCTCATTGTGCCCGAACTCCTCAGCCAGCCAGCACCTACAACCCCACTGCAGTCCTCTCTGCCCCATCCCATCCCACACTTGTCCTCCAGAGCTTCTTTTGGGATCTCTGGCCTTCCCATCCCCTCTCCCCGAGCCCGGAGAAGGTCAGAAAGACAGGAAGGGTTTGGTAAGAACAGACACTTTATTGTACACCATGGGTGGGGGGGGCGGTGAAGAGAGGAAGGAGGGGATCTAGGGCTGACGATGCCTCATCCCCTCCCCTGGGTTCAGTGGTCTTCACCCAGGCTCTGGCCAGTCACGGGGCACATGGACTTGAACTGTTCTAAACTTGTACCCGAACCAAAAGTGATACCGGCTGTATGTGCTTGGGTCTGTACAAAGCAGTACTCGGGTTGAGGAGGGACCCTGCGCCCTTTTTCCCACCTCTGGTCATTAGGCTCCAGTGAGGGGGCAGCAGGCCCCCAGTTTCAGGGCCTAGTGGATGCTCCGGGAGTCAGGTGTGTTCTAACCTGTTGTCTCTCCTCTTTTCCACCATGGGAGTACTCTGGTGGGGGGAGGGGGATGCAGCTGTGAGGAGGAACTGGAGGGGAGCCCCTGCCCATAATACTGTAGGCCTGCTCAGGGCCCGGCACCATGCAGCTTCCAGCCCCCAGCCTCAGCCGATGGCAGGTGACTCAGGAAGCCTTCTCCCGGCACTAGGAGAGTGCAAGTCCCCTCAGATTTATTGCTGGAGGGCCGAGGCCCACCCCGCTGGTATCAGCTAGAATGTCCTCCCTGTCCATCCCCATCTGGATCTCGGGCTTCATGCTGCCTCAGTGGAGAGGGCTCCCTGAGCAAGAAGCTGGTGACTGGGGCTGGAGGACAGGAAGGGGCAGGGACCAGGGGACTCTTCCAGGCACGCCCCCACCCTGCCCTGCCCTGAGCCCGCTGTCCCCCTGTGGGCACTGCTTGGACAGCACCAAAACCAGTAAGGGATGGGGACCCTGCACAGGGATGTGGGGGCCTGCCCCTCTCTGGCCCCCTCCTGCTCCTCTGGGGCATCTGGGGAGGGATCATACCTCATCAGATGCCCCACCTGTTCTTGACTCCCCCACAGGCGTTGCCTCACTCCCAGCTGCCCTGAGGACTGAGGAGAGGAGTGTGTATCAGAAGCTCAGGGGAAGGGCAGCTGTTCCTTTCAGAACTCTCTCAGAACCGTCTCAAGGACAAACGCGGGACAGAGGCGCTGCGAGCTGCTCTCCTGGGGTGTCACCATCTCAAGAAACCCAGGATGAAGAGCTCATGAGTCCGGGAGGAACAGGGAGAGGTTAGCTAGAAAACAGATTTAGGGGCTCTTCGGCCCAGAGCCCCTCCTTCCCTGCTTCTGGCAAGCCCAGTGGTGTGAAGGCAATGAGTCCCCAGCATGAAACACCTGCCTTTCCCCACAGCACCCTGCCCCGAGGCCTTGCCTGACAGAGCTGGGAGGAGAAGGAGGCAGGGGGAGGGCAGTGTGGTCTTCAGGAACGTGGTGAACCCTGGGAATCACAAATCACCCTACACGCACCCATACCCACTTATGCGCAGCCGCCGCACACACACACACGCGCACGCGCCAAGCTCCAGGCCCTATGTCTAACACAGCGGAGACACAGCCAGGACAGGGCCTGGCCTACAGCAGACGGCTGCAAGCACTACCCAGCTCTTGGGATCCAAGCAGACGGCCCAGCTCTGCCGCCCTGATACAGGCTGGCGGGCTGGGGCCTGGCCCAGCCACACGCTACAAAATTAAAAATATATCAAATATACAATGAAAATAGATCTGTACAGCACTGAGGATGAAAATAGTCCACGAGCCACGGCAGAATATGGGGTTTGTCAGTTAACCGCATTTACACCCACGTGTACAGATTGAATATACAATAGAAATAGACTAGAAGAATATATATAGTACAGTGTCTCTCCCGGGGCCTTGCTTTTCCTGTTGCTAAATCTGCCGGGATTAGGCATGGGACCAGGCAGGAGGCGTTAGGTGAGGGTGCCTCAGGCGGGATGTTGTCCCCCAAAGGCTCATGTCTTTGGGGAGACGTGGGTCTCCTTCTCCCCTCACACTCCGAAAGGACGGGTGTGGCAGGAGGGCTGGAAATGGGAGTAGTTGTGGGGGAGGGATGAGTCAAGGAAATGGCAGGGTGGGAGGAAGGACCCCCAGGGAAGGTGGGGGGGTGGACCAAGGGGCTAAGGGATGAAGGAGGGAACCCTGGGTCTTGTCTGTCCCTCCCCGTGCTGAGAACACGAGAAGAATTCAGGACCTTCCGTGAAGGTGCCCAGACCTAGCACTGTGGCCTGCAGCCACTCCACCCACCATGGCGCTCACAGATAGAGTTGGGCCGTCCTGGCCTGCCTGCCTGCGTGCCATCCATCCACGGCTGCGCACCACGCATGCGTCCCTCCACCAGGCCATCCGTCACTCTACAGACACGATTCGCCAGCCAGGCTCTGATCCTCCCAGCCTGCGTTCTGAGGGGAGCTCTCTTCCGGGGGAGGCCTCAGGTCAGGGTGGGTGGGGTGCTGGGGGTGCTGGGCCCCAGAACAGAGACCCAGCCCTTCCCTTTGGCAGCCTGTAGTGTCCACAGCACTGTCCGCGCCCTCCCCACCATGGGCTGGGCATCTTGGGGAAGGTTCCCAAGGTTATTTGCACAAGACGGGCACACCGCGCACAAGGAGAATAAGCGGCAGCCCAAAGGGGCAGTGAAATTATCTGTCTTTCCCCAGGTGTGAGGTTTCCTGGGTATGAGCCCCTGAGCTCCAGGGACCCCCATTCCAGGAGAGAAGCTGCCACAAGCGAGGAAGTTGGGCCCCAGGTAAGGGAATGTGCTTCACAATTGTGCTCCAAACTGAATTGTGCTGTGAACCATCAGGTGTGCTCTGGAAACCTCTCTGTGTACTGTCCCCTCCTCTCTCGAGGAAAGAGGCACAGGCCACAACTGTGGGCTCCCGGGTGGGGACAGAGAGGGCAGGCAAAGCCCCAGTGGAGGTGGGGAAGGGTCCCGAGCAATCATCACCCTCCCAGGCAGGATGTGACAGGACACACCCTGCCCCAGGCAGGGCCAAGGACATGGGAGATCCCACCCAGAGCCTTGGGCTGAGGGGGCCCCCATGCCTAGCCCCCTTCCGCTGCCAAGGCTGGCGCTCAAGGCAGAGCGTGCCATCTGCATCGCAAAACAGAACTTGGGGACTTCTACGAGATTCCATCCCAAGGCTGAGCCCTGAGTCCTGGCACAATTGTCCCATCCCCAGTCTTAAATCAGCCCCTGGGATGCATCACCCCTAGGATAAATCATCAGCATCCTACCCCACCGGGTGCTTCTCATCAGCACAGAGGGATGGCCAGGACTTAAGACCTACAGGTGCCAGGTTACAGAGAGAGAGAAGGTGTGGGGAGCGACCCCTACGATGGCCACTTGCCATCTCTCCTGTGCTGGGAATCAGGGCTTCTGGACTGTTCGAGTTAGTCAGCTGCAGTTTGGTGAGAGGATCTCAGGAGGTTAGACGAGTTGGGAGCCTGCACTGGGGACAGAGTCTCTTCCCAGCCCCTGCTCAGGTGTAGGGGGAAGCTGGCTGGGACTGGGGTGGGGGATGAGGCAGGGCAGACCCCCTCTCCTTGGGCAGAGGGCCTGGCCTAAGAAGACAGGCCAGGTTGGGACAAGCGGGCTGGATGGGCGTGGTGGGGGAGAGGCAGGCAGGGAGTGTGGGGCGGTGGTCACAGCTCCGACTCAGGGGTGCCGGCCAGGAGGTAGCTGCTTCCATAGCGTCCATTGGGGTTCCCGCTGGTCTCCAGGGGGGACGTGCTGCCGGGCCCCAGGTAGGAGCGGTGGGTGGGCATGGGGGACGGCGCCTCACTGGGCACCTTGCTGAGGATGAAGCGGGTCTCATCGTTCTCCTCCAGGTTGGAGATGTCTTTCATCATGCGGCCTTTCTTATAGGACACGGAGAGGGTGTTGGAGCCGTCGGAGAGCAGGTGGAAGTGCCGCAGGACGAACACCACGGGGATGGGCAGGGTCGCCACAACGATGAGGGTTATCAGGAGCGCCATGGCCCAATTGGGGAAGTACAGGTAGCGTTCGGCTGCCTGGTAGGGGGGCGGGGATGAGGGCTGTGAGGAGCTCACCCTCCGGGACCTCCAGGCTGGTCTCTTCCTGCCTTTTCCCACCCCACCCCTTGCCATCCTGACCAGGCCAGCGATGGAGGCCCTCACTGTTGCTCTTTGAGTTAGCTGGTCCCCTTGGTTAAGGGCCCAAGCTCCCCTGGGTCTCAGTTTCTACATCTGTAAAATGGGTGGGTGATTCTGCTCCACAGACATGGAGAGAGAACACGGGTGAGACCTGGACGAGTGTGTCAACCTTTCTGAGCCTCGGTCTCCCCATGTGTGCTAGGGGATAGTGCCACCTCTCTCTCCCTGCTCTTGTAAAGACAGAGGTCCTGGCAGGGACTGGCACACAGCAGCTACCCTCTGAGGATTCATCTCTATTGCCTGTTGTATTAAAGTGACCCCGGGGTTTCAGGTCCCCCCTCACCTCCTCCTTGATCCAGGCACTGTACCCTGGGGGCGTGACCCCCAGCTGGATGACGCTGGCCGTGGTGAGCACAGCCATACACAGTGGAGACACGAACTTCCACATGTAGAAATAGAAGCGATAGGGTCGGAAGCCCAGCATCTCCGTTAGCTCCTGCATGAACCTGCCAGGAGCAGAGGGCCCAGCATTGGCATCCCCACTGTGCCTGCGCATTCCCCCACAACTGCCTCCTCCAGGAAACCTTTACTGACCAATCCCTCCCTCCAAGGCTCTTCCATTCCTCACATCTGGGGATACCAGTTTATTATGTGGTGGCCCAGCTGGCCTCTGGGCAGGCTCTGGTGTCGCCTGCTAACCTCCTCTGAATACCACACGTCACACCGCACCCAGGGATATGGTATAATCCGCGGGACATGCCGGGCAGCGGGGCAGGCACCTGAGGACCTCTGCGGACACCATGGGCCCCGCCCCATTCACACTGGCCTGGGCCTGGTCTCCCCCTGCTGGAAAGAAGGTGAAGTGCACTTCCGTAGAGTCCAGAGGCCCTGACTTGGGGTTTCTGACCTCGGGGTCTGCGGGTGGGATGACCGTAGCTGCACGCTGTGTATATGAATGTCATAAGAAAAAAATCTTCTCTACTTGAATAACACCTAACTGAAACCTTGCGTTTCTTTGTACTGTAAATGCAAACCACCACAGTGGTATTAGCCACAATGACATATATCTCCCTACCACATTACGACTGAACCTACCTACAGACGTCATTTATATTCATCACTATTTCACAATTACCGTTATTATTACCCTAGCGAAATCTTCTGACTTAATGCAGTAAAAATAACACATACATGAAAAAAACTGCACATACATTACCATACCAGATTTTAAACAGTATTTTTGCTATTTTTCAACTTAACTCGTTTCCTATAGAATCCTATCTATTTTATTTTGTCCACCTAAAAATAATATTCTGAGAAGGTGTGCAGCGTCTTCACCAGACAGCAGAAGAGTCAGAGCCCCTTCCAACCATGAATCCCAGGGCTGCTCCTGACCCACCATTGGGTCCCACCTGCGTTCTTGTAGGAAGGAGATGACTGTAGCCAAGGCCATGAGAGAGCGTGATTCTGAGACCCAGTTCAGACATCAGGGGAGCCCCAGGCCTTGCAGAGAGAGTGGGAGGGGCCTGGCCCTGGGGTTTCCCAGGCTCACAGATTTGTTAAATGAGGAACGAGGCTAGGGGCTGATGGGGAGTGTGGCTCTGCCCTAGGCTCAGGCCACGAGACCCAATCCTTCCTTACTCCTGACTTCCCTGACCCGACCGGACCCCACACTTGCGGCCCTAACCACACCTCATCGCACACCCGTAGGTCGATCACCTGAAAACTGCCTCGGGCTGCTGAAGTTCCAGAATTCTTTGAGGGTGGATCCCTCTTAGATACCCACTAAGTGCTCAACAAAGTTAACAAAACTGAAGAGTTTTGGGTCTCAGGTAAGGAGGCTATGGTAATTTAAGGCAGTTTAGGGCGATGCCAGGACCTGAACCCAGGAGACTCACATGCTCAGCCTGGCTCTGCCTCTCACCAGCCACGTGGCCCTGGGCAGTCACGTCCTCTCTCTGGGTCTCAGTTTCTCTGAGGATCTCTGAGGGCACTCTCAGCTCTGACATTCTGTCTCTGTGATCTCCTGTCCCACTCAGAAGCAGCCCAGGGGAACGAGGCACTCTCCAGGGGGTCAGAAGAGGACAGACCCCTCCTCCCATCCCACCCTTCCCTGTGGCCCCCTTACTTCTTGGTTCCATAGATCCAGGCCACGGCGATGTTCTCTAGGATGACGATGACGGTCAGCGGCAGGGTGGCCGAGTAGTCATCAAACATAGTGACAAAGTAGTTTCCGGAGCGCTGGACGAACAACAGCCCCACGAAGAATGCAAAGACACAGCAGCCCACTACAGAGAGCCGGGAGGCCGGTGTGGGGGCACAGGCGCAGGGTAGGCGGGGCCCGGGGGGGTTAGGGGGGCACCCAGGCCCCTCCCTTCCCACCCCTCCTCCCTGAAGGCCTTCAAGCGGGGAGGGATCCGGTGCTGGGGTTCTGAGCTCCCACTCCTTTAGGAGAGATGGAACAGGTGCAGGCTGGCATGGGGAAGGACACCCCTGCCCAAGAGGATTCAGCAGGCCCTCAGAGAGAGAGGCAAATGACCCGAGGAAGAGGCCACCCCCAGCTCAGGCTGGGTCCAGATTCCCAGACAGCCTTCTCCTGGCTCTTGAGCGCTCTTCTCTGGGAGGCAAGCCAGGCTCCAACTGCATCCCACTGAGGGCAGCGGGGAGCCTTCTCAGCGTGGAGTCTGTTTAAGTCAGAGGCCTGTCCTGCTTGTCGTCCCTGAGGGCAGCCCACCAGGCCAGCGGGGCTGCCAGGAGGAGTTACCTGTGAACATCTCTTTGGGCACCTTGAAGGTGTCGATGATGGGTGTGGTGATGCCAGCCATGGTCCCAATCATACTGCCCAGGCCCAGGTTGATAAGCATCAGGAAGAACATGACAGACCAGAACGGGGAGGCAGGGAAGTGCGTCATGGCCTCGGTGAAGGCGATGAAGGCCAGCCCTGTGCCCTGCACGGACTGAGGGTGGGACACAGGCGAGGGCTCAGTGAGGCCCATGCCACTCCTGGAAGCCCCTTGACCTCTTATCTTTGCCCCCAGAGCTTTAAGAATAACTCTCCCCTCTTTCACAGGCATCTGTGCCCTCGCCTAACTCCTCATCTTTCCGCTAGTGGGTCTCAAACTTGGGTGAGTATCAGAATCCGCCCTATCCCAGGGAGTAAGATACCAATTTAGAAGTTCACCTGTGGGATCTGGAAGCTACGCCTTGGACAGGGACCCCAGGTGATTCAGATGGAGATGCTCACATTTAGAAATAACGCCCCGCTTGAGACCTTCCTCCTCTAGGAAGTCTTCCCTGATTGCTCCAGACACAACTATGGGAGCTCCCAGCCCTGAGCTCCAGACTTTCATAGAGTGGGCTCAGCCTCAGCTGCCTAATGGGACCACACTGGAGCCTTTAGAACACCAATGCCTGGGTCTCACCCTGGAGACAGTGCTTTGATAGATCTGGGAGTAGAGCTTGTATCTGGGTATTATTAAGTCCCCAGGTGTCTCTGATGGGTAGCCGAGAGAGAGCCACTGTGTTAAAGCTTGGGCCCCTGCTCATGAGGAAAGTGACCACACACTGCCCACTGACGTCGCTTCTCTGTTGTCCTGTAAGAACCCATGAGGTGAGGGAACACCTCCCCCAACTGTATGAGTGTGTCTTTCTTGTCATTTGGCTCTTATCGAGGTCCTATTATATAAGAAAAACGGCTACCATCCTAGTATCCATAGCACTGGCCTGAGGGCCAAAGAGAGAGAGATAGCAGAGGGTAAACACTAATGAAAATGCTTATTTTCTGTGAGCCATGTACAAAGCACGGTCACAAGGACACTACAGACAGCACTGACTCTCCTCCCCCCACTCAGAAACCCATTCGATGAATCTGAACACCATTCTGTACAATTCCTGTGATTTCGATGACAGGTGTGTGCCTCATCTCCTCGAGACAGCATACCTTGGAGCAGGGGTTTAGCTGATCCTTTTCCTCTCTCCCTCCCTGGATCCCTAGTCCGTCCTTGTTTCTCAAGCAAGTGAACGCGTCCCAGGCAGCCTTCTGAGGCCTGCTTGAGAGCTCTAGCCACCTGAGTCCCATCTCTGGGTCCCATGTTCCCACATCTGACTTCCTGCCCACCCCGGCTGGGAAGGGCAGCCTGTCCCACACCTTGTCCAGCTCGTCCTCCAGAAGGCAGGGGTCAAGGCCCAGGGAGGCGAAACGGTCCTCCTTCACGGCCCTGATGACTTTGTACATCTCCGTGTAGTCCTTGGCAGTCAGGTGCGAGAAGTTGACGTGGGGCGGGATGAGGTCCCGGCTCAGGACGTTGGTATGGAGGTACCCCAGGATTTTCTCGGCATTCCTGCAGCACAAAGCAAAGAGGGACAGGTAAAAAGGCAGGGGTGGGCACAGTCCCAGAGGCACCTCCCAGGCACCCAGGCAGGAAGCCCCACAGGCCATCGATGGAGACACTTCTGAGCCTGAGCCTGGGATCCAGAGCCGGGGACAGAGAGAGCTCCACCCCCAGGAGGACAGGGACTCTGTGTCTGTGGCCCGCCCGCCCCGCCCGCCCCACCTGGGTAAGATGGACAGGAGGAGAGAGGCCACCTACTCGACCACACACTTCTCGTTCATGATGTTGGCCTTGAAGCCCAGCACAGCAAACACCACGAGCGTGGCCAGCACCGAGGTGAAGAAGTTAATGAAGGACACCAGCGCGGCGTCGAAGTGGCAGTTGTTGTCTTGCTTGTTGTAGCTAGAGAAGGCGATGACGCCCCCGAAGCCCAGACCCAGGGCGAAGAAGACCTGGGTGGCCGCCTCCCTCCACACCTGGGGGTCCAGCATCTTGTCCAGCTGTAGGGGGAGGACCAGAGACACACAGATAACAGTTTCCCGCCACACCCCTTTCCGCATGGCAGAGTGGGAAAGCCGGGGCTGCGTGAACTTGGCCATCCTCCACGCCCCTCTGAGCTTCGGTTTCCCCATGTGCAGAACGCCGATAATGGAAATATTGACTTCAGAGGATGGTTGTGAGGCTTAAGGTCAAATAAACGCTATGTGCTTACTCAGCAACTTCTCAGTCAATTTTAACTACCATCTTTGCTTACCATGGAGCTATTATACTGAGGAATAACTTCAGGACCATTAGGTATGAGGCCTGGTGCACAACTCCAGGGAGTGCCATTCACTTGAATGGTGCCTCCTAGAGTTGTGCAGTGTACAGCCTGTACAATGGTACCAGAGCACTAAGAACACCAATATTTCCCTGATACCTCCCCTCCACTTCAAACCATGAGAAAGGACACCAACTTCTCCCTCCTGCCCACCTGACCTCCCTATCCCTGGGGGAGAGGGGGAAAGACCAATGTTCATTCATACACATTGACATACTCTAGGTCACAAAAGTCCCCTTCCCCCTTCCCACCCACCCAACTTGAAACACAGAACCCAGATACTTCTGGAGAGGGAAGTCCCTGCCTAACTCTCTATGTGTCCTCAAACCTGACAGAACCCTGAACCACACCAGCATGTAGAGAGCAGGGGACAATTCCCAAAGTGCTTTTAGTATCCATTTTCCTTTTGCTGTTTGCTCCTCAAAGCAGGGACCATGGCTTGGACCCAGCACAGAGCTGTCCAGTCAGACCGACCCAGGTCTAAACCTAACTCCCACCTTTTTTTTTTTTTTTTTAAGATTTTATTTATTTGACAGACAGAGATCACAAGTAGGCAGAGAGGCAGGCAGAGAGAGGAGGAAGCAGGCTCCCCGTTGAGCAGAGAGCCCGATGCGGGGCTCGATCTCAAGACCCTGAGATCATGACCTGAGCCGAAGGCAGAGGCTTAACCCACTGAGCCACCCAGACGCCCCATGACTCCCATCTTTAAATAGCTGACAAGGCTTAGGAAAATAACAGCGCCTATTTTATGAGGCTCAGTTTTCCCATCTGAAAAATGAGAATAATAATACCGTGTCCCTCCCACAGTGATTGTGAGGATCAGATGTGGCAGCAACAAGTAAACCCAGCACATAAATAGCAAAATGAATCCTGCTGAAGTTCCTCTGACCTAGTCGGGACAGGTTTCTTCGGTGAGGAGCAGGAATTATTATTCACATTTCCAGAAAGAGTGAACAGAGACCCCCACGGTGGAAATTCCTTGCTCCAGTGACAGAGCTGGTTGCTGGGACAGAGGAGTTGCTCAAGCATAGGTGGTCTGATGTGGCCCAAGACACCGTCCTACACCATCCCCTGACGCCTCTACTCCTCTGAGCATTGCCCCTGGACCTCTGCAGCTGAGGTCCACCCGAGTGACAGACCAGGGAGGCGAGGAGGCACTAGACAGCTTGCCGTCCCTGCAGGCACCAGCCCTACCTGGTCTTGGCCTACCTCCCCTCGCTGAGTGCCCAAGGCTCAGTCCTTCCTCGTGTGCCCACTGAGGCACTGGACTTGAAGCTCTGTTACAGCCCTAACATCCATGACAGAGACCTACCCGCCTGCCACCTCAGCAGCTCCCTGGGTCTATGTGAGCACCTGGAGTCCCTCCACTAGCTGAGAGGGTGTTGGCAAGCTTGGAGGGGGTGTGCTGCTGGGGGGGGCACTGCAGGCTGACGGGGAAGAGGAGGACAATGGTAGTAGAGACTTTAGGATCAGTACGCCAATGGAGCCTTGGCCCACAAGCATGTGTGTTCTAGGGGAGATTGTGTCCCCCACCTCGCACAAAATAAAGTCATCCCTGGTCCACCAAGAAAGCCCAGAAGCCAGGCTTTAAGGAGCTACGAGCCCCTGACATCCATGAGCAGACGACACTCCCCGCTGTCCCACGACTCTCTGCCGCCTCAGTAGTACCGTGTGGCCTCCCTGTGACTACGACTCATCCATGCAACACTGAGCACCTGCTGTGGGTCAGGCCTGGGGCTGGGTGATGGGGAGCCGTGGAGAGCAAGCACAGGCAAGGTCCAGCTCCTATGGAGCTGACATTCTAATGGGAGAGACGGCCACTGTCAAGTGACTCTGCAAACAGATGCTGAGTTGCAAGTAGGACAGGGGCCATGCAGGCCAGGTACCCAATGCTCGGAGAGCCTGTAGAAGGGGGCCTTGAGCCAGGCAGGAAGGCAGGGCAGGCTTCCCCAGGACGAGGAGATCCTTGAGTGACATCTGAGAGATATGAAGGCAAGGCTAAGAGGGGAGGAAAAGCATACCAGCAGAGGGAACAGTGTGTGCAGAGACTTGGAGTCAAGGCGGAAAGAGGAGCGCATGTGAAAGTTAGGGGAAGAGGCCAGGCTGCCTGAAGCTGCAAGGACAAGGCGGTAGAGGTAGAGGTGAGGCGGGTGGTAGAGGTAGAGGTGAGGCGGGAGGTAGGGGGCAGAGGAGTCCAATCAGAGGTCCTGTAGGGATCCTAAGTGGAAGAAGCCTAAGAAAGCACTTATTATGGGAAACCACTAAGGGATGGGGTGGAGGAAGGAAGCAACCAAACCATCCTCAGCCACGGACTAGAGATGGAGGGATGCTGGAGGGTCAGATGCCAAGGGGACAGCCATGCTTCTGGCCCGCATACCTGGCAGGGTACAGATAGAGTCCGAGAAGAAGGGAAAGATCTTGATGGGGTTGGAACAGGGCAGATCAAGGCATTCGCTGCAGAAATGTTGAATTCATTGTGTCTTTACGCTATCTAAGAGGAGATGTCTAGTGGGCAGGCAGACAAGTGGGTCTGATGGCCAGAGAGAGGCTGAGCCAGAGATATAACCTGGGAGGAGCAGGTGTGCCGGGAGGAACCCCAACCGTGGAGTCATGAGAAGAGGCAAGCCAGGCAACATCTCCAGGTTCAGTGCAGCAAAGACGGTCTCCCAAGGGAGGGAGAGGAGGTACAGCAGGCCAGACAGGAGGAGGAGCAAGAGAGGGCTGGATCCAGAGGCCACCTAAAGGGCTGGGACAGGGAGGGGCCCATGCTACCCAGAGAAATATACCAGGGTGAGCCTGTCCTTGGTGGGCTGGGTCGGAGCTGATGGGGCCAGAGTCAGGTAGGAGTCGGGAGAGCTGAGAAGCAGAGGGGAAGAAATGAAGGTAAGGTGGATAATCAACTCCTTGGAAAGCTCGTCTTGGAACAGGAGGAGAAAGAGAGCAGGTTCAGGCAGAGGCTACGAAATCAGTGAGTTGATTTTTTATCTGTTGTCTCATTTTTGTCTTTAATGCAGTGACTTGAAGATAGGTAAAGGCGGAAGGCAGGGGATCTAGAGGGGCGGGGAGCTGTCTCCCCTCGGAGACCCTGGAGCTGCTCACGGAGGGACCAGGACAAGAGGACGGGATGTGGCAGGCAGGTACAGACCGGTTTGGACGTTCCGGGTCTGTGAACGAGTTTCTGTCTCGGCGGTTCCTGTTCACCCTGGAAAGCAGACGGCCAAATCATCTGTTTGGGGTGAGGTCAGGACATGCACACAGGTGGAAGAGGCTGAAAACGGTCACAGTGAAGCAGGGAGAATGAGATGCCAGGGAAATGGGGTAGGGTTAGCCCACATTGTTGAGGGTCCTCTGTGCTTGAAATGGCATCTTTATAAAAGTAGGACAGGCCCACATTTCCTTATCTAAAAGCCCTGAGGCCAGACTGGTTGTGGAATTTGGGCTCTTGTTCCTCATTCTATTTTAGAAAGGTAATGTGGTGCGTATGCCGCACAATTACATAACACCCCCGGTGGGGTCTGGGGCCCATAATCAAACACATCAGTATTTCTGCAGCAGAATATGAATATTCACACCAAGTGAATCAATAAAGACTATAAATAGCCTCACATCTGTTCAGGTCACTTTGCCGCCAAACGAGTTCCAGGAGAAAGAAAAAACAACTTTTGTTTTTCGGGGCTATTTGGATTTTGGCATTGTGAGTAAGGACACAGGGGCCTATACAGAAATTCGAAGATTATTTTTAAAAGGAGAACAAAGTCATCATTGTCCCACTGGGAAAGAAAGGTCTCTGTATCTCCCCTCTCCTGGGTGGGTTCTTGAATGATCCTCCCAGAAAGTTCTGGAAATTACTTGCACCTGGAGGGCAATGATGCTTACAAGTGTCAGTCATGTCAGTTTTACCAATCGGCTGGAACCTGGGCACCTCCCTCGGACTAGAAACCTAGACCTAAAGGCTAGACTCTGGGTGGTCCGGTGAGTTCCAAGCAGGAGGAAGCACAAGATTTTGTAAGAGAGGGTAGATTGAGATGGACACAGCCCTGGTCATCCCCCTTGCCTAGGGAAACACCCTTGATGGTTGTGTCTGCCGGAAAATCTTTTCCCACTCTTTGTCCCTATCTCTAAAGGCAGTGAACTTACTCTTTGAAAGCACAGCAGTCTCCTACCTCTAGCCTTTGCCCAGGCTGTTCCCTCTGCCTGGAATTCCCTTTCTCCTACTCACATTGTGGTGAAACTCCCATTTATTTCTCAAAACCCAGCACAAATATCACCTCCTCCCCGAAGCCTTTCCTGATGCCTCTGGCAGAGGTTGTCATGGTCATTGGGCTCTTGCCGCTGTGGTCCACACCTGCGTCTCAGGTTCACATGTCTGCCTTCTTTTCAACACTTTGTGTTTCTGAGGGGCGAAGCCCATCTCCTGTTCGTCTTTGTGTAAGCAGTGTCTGGTACACGAATGTCAAGGAAAAGACTGGGGGGCAAGAGAGACAAGGCTTTCTCCTCAAGCTGAGCTGAGCGGGAAGGACCAAACCAGGCGCTGTGAAATCGTCCTGGCCTTTTTGTGTGAGGATGCAGGCTTCTAGGACAAGAAGATCCTTATGGCTTTAAACTTCTGCTTTTTAAAGCATGGCTATTTTAATGTTGGCTTCCTTTCCTTTTCTCTTGCTTCCCTACCTCCCCCTTCCC